TCCTCTCGACCTCTACCCCAACCTGGGTGACACCATCAAAGTTAACCCGGCTCCATCCCTTATCACATTGGTTGATTCTGCTCATGCTGACCCCATGCCACTTGATTCTGTTGAAACTGATCCCTCTGCAATTGATCCTGTTCGAGGTGACCCTGTATCGATTGACCCTGCATTGGTAGACCTTGCTTCAGCCAACTCAGGGCTGGTTGACCCTCTTCCAGCTGACCCAGTGTTGACTGAGCCAGTCCTGGCTGACTCTCCAGCAGTTGACCCTGCAGTGGTTGTTCCTGTCTCAGATGACTTGCCACCAGTTGACCCTGTCTCCACCAACTTAGCACCAGTTGACTCTGTTCCCAATGACCTGGCTCCAGTTAAGCCTGTGCTAGTTAAGTCTAGGCCAACTGACCCCAGACGTGGTGCAATGTCATCAGCCCAGGGGAGTCCAGCCCCCCAGCTCCTTCTAGAGTCAGAGTCCTTGGACCCCCCAAAGGTCATCATCTCTGAAGTCAAGGAGATCGTGGGTCCTCTGAAGGTGGAAGGTGATACTAATGCCACAACCCAGGAAACCAGACCTCGGCCTCTTAGTCTATCTGAGTACCGGCGACGAAGGCAGCAGCGCCAAGCAGAGGCAGAAGAAAGGAGTTCCCAGCTCCCATCTGGGAAGTGGCCCAGCCTCCCAGAAACCCCCACAGGGCTAGCAGACATCCCTTGTCTTGTCATCCCACCAGCTCCAGCCAAGAAGACACCTCTGCAGAGAAGCCCGGAGACTTGCTTTGTGCCTGTGGGTGGTCCCAGTCCTGCTTCTCCTAGTCCTGAGCCACCTACAAGCAAATCTGTGGCCTCAACTCCCACTGAGCAGGTGCCATCCCAAGAGATGCCACTGCTAGTGAGACCTCCACCTCCTGCTGTGCAGTCCATGCCCCCCACAATGCCCACTGCTGTGCCTTTTCCACCGGGTGGGTTGGGCATGACTCCCATGCTACCCCCACCAACCTTGCAGCCTCCTAGTCTTCCAATGCCTGTGGGGCCAGTGCCACCTGATCCCTATACTCACTATGCTCCCATGCCACCCTGGCCTTGTTATCCCCCAGTGTCTCCTTCTGGCTATCCTTGTTTGCCGCCCCCACCAACAGTGCCCCTAGTGTCTGGTACCCCTGGCACCTATGCTGTTCCCCCCACTTGCAATGTGCCCTGGGTACCCCCTCCTGCCCCAGTCCCGCCTTACAACTCTAGCTGTACTTATGGGCCCATGGGGTGGGGTGCAGGGCTGCAACACCCTCCATTCTGGCCTACTGTGCCCCCACCACCTTTGCCTGTAGCCTCTGTTGGGAGAGCTGTTCCCCCACCCAAGGTGGAGCCCAGTGGCATCCCAGCTGGCCCTCCTGAAAGTTTACCGCCTGTACCGATGGCTCCTCCCCTCACTCTGGGATCAACTGGCCAGGGAGCTCCACAGGTAGAGCCCACCAAGGTGGAGGTCAAACCAGGCCCTGCATCTCCCCATCTGAAACACAAGGTATCCTCCCCAGTGCAAAGCCCACAGAGTAAGGTTTCACCATATCTGTCTGCTGAGAGTGTGGCTACTGAGGAGCCTGCATCAGAGAGGTTAAAACTTGAGACCCAGGAGACCAAGTCCAGGGAGAAGACCCCCTCACCTGTTGCCAAGGCTGTTCCCACTCCAAAGCAGAGCACTGTCACTAAGTTGCCTGCTGTCCACCCAGCCCGCCTAAGGAAACTGTCCTTCCTGCCTACCCCCCGTATCCAGGATCCTGAGGATGTGGTACAGGCTTTCATCAGTGAGATTGGTGAGTGCCACACAGTTGGCATCAGAGTCAACTGGTATTAAGTTAGTGGAGGCAGGGTCAACTGGTGGCAAGCCATCTGTTGGTGTGAAGAAGGGAATTGGGATTGGGTGGAGAATGTCCTCCAGAGATTAGGATAAAGTACCTGGCTGGGGGGGCTGGCCTTTGGATTTCTTTGGACGTTTTTTTTTTTTAATATATTTTATTGATTTTTTACAGAGGGGAAGGGAGAGGGATAGAGAGTTAGAAACATCAATGAGAGAGAAGCATTGATCAGGTGCCTCCTGCACACCCCTTATTGGGGATGTGCCCACAACCAAGGTACATGCCCTTGACCAGAATCGAACCTGGGACCCTTCAGTCCCCAGGCAGACGCTCTATCCACTGAGCCAAACCGTTTAGGGCTCTTTGGAGGGTTCTTGAGAGTCAGAGCTCTGGGTTTGTTTATTTCTTGCTTTGTATTCCTGTCTTGATTTACTTAGTATAGTGAGCAGGGGGAGCATAAAGGGAGAAATGACGTGATTTGGGACTTCCTGGGACCTGTGTACTCAATTGATAGGAGCTGTTTTCCAATCCTGTGTTGTGTGCTTCCCTAGGAATCGAGGCATCGGACCTGTCCAGTCTGCTGGAGCAGTTTGAGAAATCAGAAGGTGAGGGAACCTGGGGAGCTTTGCTCCAACCCCTTTTTAAAATTACTATTTCCTTTGGGCCCAGTTTATAGTTATTTAAACTAGGGGAAGGACAGCCTGAGCCACTAGAGCAGTCCCCTAATTGGAATGGGAGACAAGATCCACCTGTGATGCCATCTAAGCCAGGGAGAGGGTACAGCGTGGCAAGTATTACAAAGAGTAGACCAATGGGGAGATGTTTTCTAGAGGGAAGTAGCTCGCAAGGTAGGCCTTTAAAGATAGGCCTTCATAGAATGCATGTGGTGAATAAAGGCAGAGACACAGAAATGACGGAGTGTGGTGTATTTAGAAGGCAATGGATAATTCAGCTTTTTCATTGCAAGGCAGGGTGCTGCTGTTGATACTATATCCTGTTCTCAAGGAACGTACCTAATTGGGAAGAAAAGTCTGCAGAAATGACTCCTAAATTGGTAATGGGTATCTATAGTTCAAGGCAAAACAAAAATATAAGTGTAGAACGAGTGTAAATTATAAGACTAGGAAGTTGGGCAGGTCATGAAGAACCTTGAATGTTAGGCTCAGAAGTTTGACTCTATCTCAGATTCAGTGGGTAGTGTGGATGTTTCTGAGCAGAGAAGAGACATGGTTAACAATAGTACCTGTGCACACACTGGAGAAAAATGGATCTTTCTGGGGAGAGCCCAGTGGAATATGTAGGCAAAGTAGATTTTCCTCCTTTGGGTCTCAAAGCCAGCCCTTCTATACCTCCTCAATTTGGAACATCTGGTTGGGCTTTTAACTAGTATGGTTTCTTTGCAGCCAAAAAGGAGTGCCCTCCCCCGGCTCCTGCTGACAACTTGGCTGTAGGAAACTCAGGGTAAGTATGGAGACGTGTGAGCGAGTTACCCTACAGCTGTTGGTCAGCAGCCGGCCGGCGCTCCAGGATCATTCATTGGATGCCTCTGTTGCAGTGACGTTTAGTCAGCTCTAGAGTCTTTTCCTGTTTCCACATCCCCATGCTCAGCTCATCACTACTGGGCACTGTTTTGGGTGGTGAGGTAGGAGGATGGATGCGTACCAAGACTTTGGTTGATTCCATTCTGGGGTTCCAAATGTCCTAGAGGGGCCTTTTGTCTTCTGACAAGTCATGCCTTTGGGGGGTTTTCATTGAACACGGTTTAAACTTGTTCAACACTGGTGATAATTTAAGATAAGTGGGGGAAGATGTTCATGGCTAGGGCTTCCCTGACTCCTTGGAGGATACAGGCACCCTACACCTTGCTCCCCAGTCTTCCAGGACTGAGAGGACTTCTTAAAATTTTTCTTGTTCATGGTATGCCATGCTGTTCTGCCAAGCATATTTCTCTCCACGTTGATTTTGGGTTGGTTTGAGCCAGGCAGGTAAAGCTCCTGGTTTGAAGGAGGTGGGTGGGGGGTATTTAAGATTATAGTTGAGTTGCCTCCTGGCATTGGGCAGAGCTGAGCTAAGACCCAACCTGCAGTTCAGTCACCAAGACTATTTTTGTGCTGGGGGAGAATGATAGGGGCAGGTTGTGCATCCCATTCCTCTGCACACACCCCTCTCCCATTGCTTTGTGAGGAAAGCAGATGTACAGATGTTGAGGAGGCAATGAACCAGGCTTTCCCTTTTCCCCCTGCCAGCAGCGTTGACCCTCCCCAGGAGAAGAGGCCCCTAGACCGGTTACAAGCCCCAGAACTGGCCAACGTGGCAGGTGGGTTCAGGGTGGGGAACTGTCTTTGTTTAGTTTATGCAGTAAATGTTTGTAGAGCCCAATCTGATTCTCATCATTGAGGTTCTCACAGTCCAGGGGCAAGTTGCAAAATGACTTCGTTAGTATCAGAGGTTGTATGTCAAATAAGTGGGGTCTGAAGGGGGACAGTCAGGGATGGGTTGTATGGAAGATAATCTCCAAAGCAGAGGCTTGAGAAAAATCACTGATACCAATCAGGTAGGTTTAGGGGACAGAGAATTCTGTAGATGAGCATCTAGAGTGAACTGAAGAAATAAAATCAACCTGGTATGTTTTGGGGAATTGCAAGTGGTTAGGTTTGGCTGTGGTATAGTGGCTGATCAGGGTGGTGAGCAGAGCTAAAGCAAGAGATAAAAGCTGGAGTGGTAAGTAGAAGGTCAGATTATGGGAACTTTGTAATGGTAAGCTATTTGGACTTTATCCTGTGCATGGAAGAAGCAATTGAAAAAACTTTACTGAATTGGTTTTTGGGTGCTCCCTCCAGCAACAATGTAGAAGACAGGTGGACAGGTGTGAAGCTCAAGGTAGAGGATCATTAGAGATGATGATGACACGTGCCAACAAGATGCAGCCAGAAGTCAGGCAGTGCTGGAGTAGGGTGGAGGGGTCTAGGAATGGAGAGGTAGGCTGGGCAGGACCGGGTCACCAGTTAGGTTGGGGCAATGAAAGGTTGAAGGATTCAGGAAGACCCTGGCTGATGGGGTTTCTGTTGCTGGTCCCCAAGATGGGGAACTTGGGGGAAGGAGTAGTTGCAACAATGGGAGAAGTTGGGCTGTGGACCATTGTGGTGTACTTTGTGAGATGAGGTGGGGGTCTCTGGAGCTTACATACACAGTGTTTGGAAGTGTAGAATCGGATCTCATCCTGCTATCTCCATCCTCCCTCCCCTCACAGGGCTCACCCCTCCAGCTACCCCTCCCCACCAGTTATGGAAGCCCTTGGCTGCTGTTTCCCTGCTGGCCAAAGTCAAATCTCCTAAGTCCATCGTTCAGGAGGGAACCTTGAAGCCTGAAGGAGTTACAGAGGCCAAACATCCAGCTGCAGCCCGCCTCCAAGAAGGGGTCCATGGCCCTAATCCGGTCCATGTGGGCTCTGGGGACCATGACTATTGTGTCCGGAGTAGAAGCCCCCCCAAAAAGACTCCTGCTCTAGTCTTTCCAGAGGCAGGCTCCCGATGGAACGTCAAACGCCATCAGGATATCACCATCAAACCTGTCCTGTCCCTGGGCCCAGTCGCCCCTCTTCCTCCAGGCACAGCTGCCTCCCAAGAGCCACTTGATCACAGGACTAGCAAAGAGCAGGCAGATCTCCCAGCCCCTTGCCTTGCCCCATCTGCCTTGCTGTCCCCTGAGGCCTCGCCCTGCCGGAATGACATGAACACTAGGACTCCCCTTGAGCCCTCAGCCAAGCGGTCAATGCGCTGTTATCGAAAAGCCTGCAGGTCAGCCAGCCCCCCAAGCCGGGGCTGGCAGGGCCGCCGTGGCCGCAGCAGTTCTGTCAGCTCTGGGTCCAACCGGACCAGTGAAGCATCTTCTTCCTCATCCTCATCGTCGTCTTCATCCCGATCCCGGTCCAGGTCCCTCTCCCCCCCACACAAGAGATGGCGAAGGTGAGCTCTAATGGTCTATTAGGTCCTCTCCATTTAGGAAGTTTTTTTGCACATTGAGTTTGGTACTTTCAGGCACTAAGGCTCCTGTTTCTGTCTTCGGCTTTTGTCTTCTCTGCCTTCCCTGGATTGTTGAAGGAGGCAAGCTGTGAGAGAATAGCTTCTGTGCTCTGTTGGAGTTTGGGGTGTCCCTGAGGTCTCTGCTTCCTTGAGACCTGCCTTGGGGAAACGTTAGAATTTGATCTTAACCATGTTGAATCCTTTGAATACTCTATCAGTCCTCATTTCTGGTATTTTCCTGGTGGTATGTGGGAAGGTGGGATTGTGGGTTGTTAATGGCAGACAGTCCTTTTAATCTGTTGAGGAAAGAGTCTGGGCAGTTCTTTTGGGTGTCCCTGTGGCCTCATCTATTTCCTGGCAGTACTTTTTTTTTTAGTAACAGAACCAGATTTTCTATTTAGATAAGGTATCCTTTATCTCTTTTAGTCTTCACTTATTTTTCTTCTTTCTGATTTGTTAGATATTTTTCAATCTTTAATTGCATAATTGAAAAGAAATATGACCTATGCCAAAATACTCTGAAACATTCCAGATACATCTAAAGTTCATCAGGGCTTTGTTTGGTCATCTTTGAAGAGTTTTTCTAGACCTCTTCAGCTTTCTTTTGCCTTTGGTCCTGTGCTTCCTGAGACGGAGGCAGGGCTGCTGCCAAGGTGAAGTAAGTAGTATATACCTGCACCATTCCCAGCATTCCTATGTACCCCTTTATTCTCTAGGTCCAGTTGTAGTTCCTCTGGATGTTCCCGAAGATGCTCTTCCTCTTCCTCATCTTCCTCCTCATCTTCCTCATCCTCATCATCTAGTTCCCGAAGCCGGTCCCGCTCCCCATCCCCCCGCCGGAGAAGTGACAGGAGACGGCGGTGAGCATGTGTTCAGGGAGTCAGTGCATCTGGGGTGTAAGTGCCTGAGAGTTCAGAGACTTAAGCTGTCTAATGTCTGGGTGGCTGATGGCACCTTCTCTTGTCAGGTACAGCTCTTATCGATCACATGACCATTACCAAAGGCAGAGAGTGCTGCAGAAGGAGCGTGCAATAGTGAGTAGAGGAACAGGTCATGGGAGTGGGGGGAGTTTGCCCCCGAGCCACAAGCTCAGAGCCTTCTTTAGTTCTGGCCCTGGCTCATGGTATGTAAATTTCCCTTGTCCCAACATAGGAAGAGAGAAGAGTGGTCTTCATTGGGAAGATACCTGGCCGTATGACTCGGTCAGAGCTGAAACAGAGGTTCTCTGTTTTCGGAGAGATTGAGGAGTGCACCATCCACTTCCGTGTCCAAGGGTAAGCTTGGGCCCTGAGGTTTTTTCGTCTTTCCCCCTTGCTCTGGTGTGCTGCCCAAGTTTTTCATTCAGAGGATTGGCTATTTGGGGAATGAGAAGAATCACCCCAGTCCTCTGTACCCTGGTGGGTGTTTCTTTTCCGTGGCATGTGCCCCAATAGCCAGCCTCTGCCTCACCCACCAGTGACAACTATGGCTTCGTCACTTACCGCTATGCTGAGGAGGCATTTGCAGCCATCGAAAGTGGCCACAAGCTGAGACAGGCAGATGAGCAGCCCTTTGATCTCTGCTTTGGGGGGCGCAGGCAGTTCTGCAAGAGAAGCTACTCTGATCTTGGTGAGTGGAGGGAGGCCTTGAGGCTTTGGTGTAAGGGTTCCCAACCTTTTGAGAGTGGGCTCAGCAGACTTCTATTCATCTGACACATGAAGGAACCAAGGGGTGGGATGACTTAAAGTCATTATTGGGATGGGAGGTGGCTGGCCATCTGAGGACTCTGGTTGGGAAGTGTGGTCAGAGACCTTGATGTTTGTCTGTCTTTCTCTACCTTTATAGACTCCAACTGGGAAGACTTTGACCCTGCTCCTGTAAAGAGCAAATTTGATTCTCTTGACTTTGACACATTATTGAAACAGGCCCAGAAGAACCTCAGGAGGTAACCCTGGGCCCTTCTCCCCTTCCCCCTTTTTTTGGAGGTGTCCAACCATCTCCAACCCCCTTCCCCACTCTAGGGGAGAGAGCTGCTAGTGAGGAGATGACTGTTTTATAAAGAAATGGAAAAAGTGAAATAAAAAAATGTGTTAAATCAGATTTTTTAAAAGGGTATTTGTTTTTATAACAGGCATTGAAACAAGTTAATTTGCATTCCTATTTGAGATGGATGACATTGAGGGATTCCCCCTGTGTTTGGATGATAAAAGTCACTATGCAGACTAATAATAAATATGAACTAGAGAGAACATCTATGTGTTGTGCTTCTTTCTTTCTATGGTGTTAATACCAGACATATTCACTTTTCCTCAACACAGTGTCACGTTTACCTCCATTGAGTTCCTGGGACCCCTCTTTGATCAGGTGCAAAATCCTGTTGGACTTGAAACTTGGCTCCTTGAGTGTTTTGACAGTGAAATCAGTCATCAGGGCAGTGCTTCTCAAACTTTAAAAGGGCATTTGAGCCCCGGCCAGTGTGGCTCAGTTGGTTGTCCTGTGCACCAAAAGGATGCCGATTCAATGCTAGGGCACATACTGGGGATTGTGACTTGATCTCCAGTAGGGGGTGTGCAGGTGTCAGCCACTGGATGTTCCCTCTCAGTTTCTCAGAGGGTCGGGTGGTGGGGGCAGCATTTGAACCCTGGACAGTGTTGCTAGGTGGTTAGAGCATTGCTCAGATGTTTAAGTAATGCATGCATGTGGATTGACTTCTGGGGAAGAGGGAGATAGATGTAGGAGTTATATCTAGGAGAGAGGAATGCCTATTTTGAAAAAGACAAAGAAGTGTGTCCCCTGAAAAGTACATCCTTACCCTTTTTGAGGGGCATTAATGGGAAGTAGTCAAAGTATAGTGTATGGGATTGAAGGGATTCTTGTCTGTTGCTAATGTAAACAAATATGATAGACTTTTAAATTGACTTGTCAGGCCTGGGCATTAGAATATTTGAGTATTCATTACAAAGGGGGAAAAATTGGGTAGTTTTCCAGTTCTCATAGGGAGAGTTCACAGTATAAACTCTCAGGTCTGTGGTTTGAAGAGATTGCTGCTGCATCTTTCAGGTTTGGTGCACAACCCCTTTTACCTTCATGGAGCTGACTTGACTGAATAAGTAAGTGGGGGGGCCAGCTACCCTGTCGCTATAAAGGGAAGGCAGGCCCTAGCTGGTTTGGCTCAGTGGATAGAGCATCGGCCTGCAAAATGAAGGGTCCTTGGTTCAATTCCAGTGAAGGGCACATGCCTGGGTTGCAGGCTTGATCCCCAGTGTGGGACATGCGGAAGGCAGCCATCAATGATTCTCATCGTTAATGTTTCTATCTCTTCCTCTCCTCTCTGAAATCAGTAAAACATATATTTAAAGAAATAATAGTTTTAAAAAATAGAAGGCAGGCTGTGTGCTCTCCAAGCTTGGTCTGCTGCTTTGCATCCACTTCCATCGATTCTTAATGGTTGCTCATCAGGCCTCAGATGACAAAATGGTGAAGCAGATCAAGAGCAAGTATGCTTTTGAGGAAGCCTTGAACAGTGCAGGAGATAAACTTGTAGTAGCTGACTTCTCAGCTGCATGGTGTGGGTTTGGCAAAATGATAAAGCTTTTTTTAAAATTTCCTCTCTGAAGCATTCCAATGTGGTATTACTTGAAGTAGATGTGGATGACTATTAGGATGTTGCTGCAGAGTGTGAAGTCAAATGCATACCAACCTTTCAATTCTTGTTAATCCCCACCTGAGGATATTTTTTCCTTTTTTTTTTTTAGCAAGAGTGGAAGGGAGGGGGGAGACAGAGAAACACTGATATAAGAAAGATGTATTGACTGGTGGCCTCCCGCACATGCCTCAAATGTGCCAGGGATTGATCCTGCAACCGAGGTAAGTGCCCTTGACCAGAATCGAACCTGAAACCCTTCAGTCCATGGGCTGATGCTCTAACCACTGAGCAACTGGTCACAGCCAATTTTCCAGTTTCATTTGTTTGTTTGAAATATATTTTTATTGATTTAAAAGAGGAAGGGAGAGGGAGAGAGAGAGACACATCAATGATGACAGAATCATTGATCGGCTGCCTCCTGCACGCTCTTGTCTGGGGATTGAGCCTGCAACCTGGGCATATGCCCCAACCGGGAATTGAACCGTGACCTCCTGGTCCATAGGTCACACTCAACCACTGAGCCATGCTGGCTGGGCTGTTTGTTTTTTAAATATACTTTTATTGCTTGGAGAGGGGAAGAGATAGAAACATGAATGATGAAAAAGAATCATTGATGGGCTGCCTCCTGCATGCCCTCTACTGGGGATCGAGCCTGAAACCTGGGCATGTGCCCTACACCGGAATTGAACCCAAGACTCTTCATTCCACAGGCCACTGAGCCAAACCATCTAGGACTACAAAAGGACAAAAGGGTGAGTTTTCTGGAGCTAATAAGGAAAAACGAAGCCACCATCAATGAATTAGTTTATTGATGTTTTCTGAAAACAGTTATCAGTTTTTGAAATTTTTTTACTTACATAAAAGCAAGATCAAGCATAGAGACTATATACTCCACTACCATCTGAATGTAAATGACAACAAAATATTAGTTATACCATTAAAAATAAGTGGAGGATAGGGTTTCATGGGCAGGACATGATGGGGGTGGGTGTGGGCAGTTTTATTACTGGAAAGGGGACCTGGCCCTGAGTCTGCCTGCCTTGGGCCAGCTGATAGCGTGTGGGTTCTTGACTTTGTACAGGAAAGATTTCACAGCACAAGTCCAGGTGATTCACTGCAGTGGTTCTCAACCTTCTGGCCCTTTAAATACAGTTCCTCATGTTGTGACCCAACCATAAAATTATTTTCATTGCTACATAACTGTCATGTTGCTACTGTTATGAATCATAATGTAAGTATCTGATATGCAGGATGGTCTTAGGCGACCCCTGTGAAAGGGTCATTCCACCGCCAAAGGGGTCGCGACCCACAGGTTGAGAACCGCTGTTTTAGAGGATGTTTGTTGAAACTGGGAACAGTGAAACGGAAGGGTGTAGGATAGAACAACAGGAGAGACTAGACAGTGAAATGAGCCTAGACTGGGCTGCTTTGGCTCACTAAGAAGTCAGAAAAAAGGGGGCCTTTGGGACAGGTTCAGGGCCCATTGCTCCCTGGATGCAAGTCTTGTGGGAGTCCCTTAGTTAGGACCTGCATGCCTGTGGGGGAAGAAGAGCGGGAAGGGAAAGGCAAGGTGTGCTGCCTGGAAGGAGACTGCACTGTAGTATCTTCATTTTGAAGGTTTTTAAAGGCTGGGAGTTTTAGCGAGGTGTTATAGGATGAGCTCAATAGATGATTAGTTCTATGCTGATGTTCCAAAACTGGATTTATTCCCTTAACTTCATTTGCCCTTGGGTGTAGTAGGCACAAATGGCACTAATAGGATCTCTGCTATCTATCTCCTATCTCCTGAGTAGGGTGATTTAGGCTATTTACCCTCTGGCTGGGGAGAGGTGCCACCATTACATTCCTGTAAGTGTCCTTGGTTTAGTGAAGATAGGATTTTGCCATTTGCTAGATGGCTGTAAACTACTTGGTGACTTCACGATCTGCCCGTTTCCCTATTCTTGTTCTGGCTTACTAGCCTCAGTTTGGGGGATCAACACCCCATCTTGACCACAGATGATCTGCAGGAACCTCTGCAGTGAAGGTGGAAGTCCCACAGGCTGGGGTGGTATCTGAGAAAGGGTCGCTGTGGGTATGGGAGGCAGTGAGATGGAAAGTGGGAATCCATTGGCAGAGCGGATCGGGGCGCCTGGAGATCTTGTGACCAAGTCCAGGCAGTCCCAGGACAGCTCCAGCCTGCCGGTCCACTCACTTCCCTGAAAGGCTAATCCCGAACGAGGAGCTGGAAACGCCGCGGGAGGAAAGGTGCCTCGGGAGAAAGGACGGGGGAAGTCCGCCGTTTTCCCGCCACTGCCAAGGGCGTGACCCCTGACGTCAGGCTCCGCCTTCGCAAAGTGGCGGGCGGCGGGCTCCGCCCTTATCAAGATGGCGACACGTGGGAACGGAAAGAGCTTACAGATTTTGCGTAGATCCTGCCTCCGAGGTGGAGGCGGGACATCCCTGCGGAGTGCGCCCGCCCCTTCCGCTGTGCGCCCGCGCGGCGCGATGACGTAACGCGCTCCGCCCCGACCTCTCTGGGTCCCTGAGTTCCTGAGTCGTGTGCATCGGCAACGGTAGTGACGCGTGTTGCCCGGAGGATGGCGGCCGCCGGCTTACCCCGCGTGGTTCCCAGCGACCTGTATCCCCTCGTGCTCGGCTTTCTGCGCGACAACCAACTCTCGGAGGTGGCCAATAAGTTCGCCAAGGCAACAGGCGCTGTGAGTCCCGGACTTGGTTCACGAGCCGGGGTGGGAGGATCACAGGGCTCCGGGCCCAGCCATGGTTAGGTTTCCAGGTAGAGAGGTCCGTGGGGTCCGCCAGCCCAGTGTCTGCGGGGCCTTTGTGCGGGTTTTCGGTGGTGACTGGCGAGAGCCTGGAGTCCGCGAGGTCTTGACTAGGTAGCGCTGAGTCTTGTAGCTTTCTCTCTGTTGAGCGGTGCAGTGGCAGCAGCGTGGGACCCGCGTGGTCCAGGTCACGTGGCTGGCGGAGTGGGAGCACCCGAAGAGGGAGTATCCAGTCTCACCGGAGGCTTTGGAAGCTTCTGGTTGCTGCTTTTGGCTTTAGTAGTTGGTGGAA